ATACTCTATGTAGGAAACCCGAAATACTCCACCAAAAAATTACTGGAACTAATACACAAGTTAACATAAAAATCAATGTACAGAAACCAGATGCATTTTTTATACACCAATAATGAAGCAGCAGAAAAGGAAATCCAAGAACTGATCCCATTTACAATTGCACCAAATCCCATAGGATTCCTGGGAATAAACCTCCCCAAAGGGGTGAAAGATCTGTATTCCAAAACTGCAGAACACTTATGAAACAAAGTGCAGAGCACATAATGAAATGGACAAACAGTCCTGGCTCATGGATTAGAAGAACAAATATTGTTAAAATGTCCATACTACCCAAAGCAATGTACATGTTTGATGCAATCCCTATCAAAATACCACCAGCATTTTGCACAGAGCTAGAACAAACAATCCTAAAACTTGTACGGAACCAGAAAAGACTCTGAATAGCCAAAGCAATCCTGAAAAAGAAAACCAAAGCTGGAGGCATCACAATCCTGGACTTCAAGATGTATTATAAAGCTGTAATCACCAAGGCAGTATGGTATTGGCACAGAAACAGACACATAGATCAGTGGAATAGAATAGAAACCCCAGAAATGGACCCACAACTATATGGTCAAATAATCTTTGACAAAGCAGGAAAGAATATCCAATGGAAAAAGGACAGTCTCTTCAACAAATAGTTTTGGGAAAACTGGAGAGCAACATGCAGAAGAATGAGACTGGACCACTTTCTTACACCACACACAAAAATAAATTCAAAATGGATGAAAGACCTAAATGTGTGACAGGAAACCATCAAAATCCTACAGGAGAACACAGGCAGCAACCTCTTTGACCTCAGCTGTAGCAACTTCTTACTAGACACATCTCTGGAGGCAAGAGAAAGAAAAGCAAAAATGAACTATTGGGACCTCATCAAGATAAAAAGCTTCTGCACAATGAAGGAAACGATCAACAAAACTAAGACAACCAACAGAATGGGAGAAGATATTGCAAATGACATATCTGATAAAGGGTTATTATCTAAAATCTATAAAGAACTTCTAAAACTCAACATCCCCCAAATAAATAATCCAGTTAAGAAATGGGCAGAAGACATGAACAGACATTTTTGCGAAGAAGACATCTGGATGGCTAACAGACACATGAAGAGATGCTCAACATCACTCATAATCAGGGAAATACAAATCAAAACCATGATGAGGGGTGCCTGGGTGGCTCAGCCAGCTAAGCATCTGGCTTTGGTCAAGTCACGATCTCCCTGTTTGTGAGTTTGAGCCCCACATTGGGCTCTCTGCTGTCAGTGTGGAGCCTGCTTCAGATCCTCTGTCCCCACTCATTCTCATTCTCTGTCTCTGTCTCTCTTTCAAAATAAATAAATTAATTAAAAAAAACCATGATGAGATACCACCTCACACCTGTCAGGATGGCTAAAATTAACAACTCGGGAAACAACAGATATTGGTGAAGATGTGGAGAAAAGGGAACCCTCGTGCACTGTTGGTGGGAACGCAAACTGGTGCAGTCACTCTGGGAAACAGTATGGAGGTTCCTCAGAAAGTTAAAAATAGAACTACTCTACGACCCAGCAATTGCACTATTAGGCATTTACACAAAGGACACGAAAACACCGATTCAGAGGAGCATGTGCACCCCAATGTTTGTAGCAGTGCTATCAACAATAGCCAAAGTATGGAAAGAGCCCAAATGTCCATCAACTGATGGATGGATAAAGAAGATGTGGTCTATACACACATACATGTATATACATATATATATGTAATGGAATATTACTCAGCCATAAAAAAGAATGAAATCTTGTCATTTGCAGTGCCATGGATGGAGCTATAGAGTATTATGCTAAGCAAAATAAGTCATAGAAAAACAAATACCATATGATTTCATTCATATGTAGAATTTAAGAAATAAAACAGTTGAACATAAGGGAAGGGCGGGGGAAGAGAGAGGAAACAAACCATAGGAGACCCTTAAATACAGAGAACAAACTGAGGGTTGATGGAGAGAGGTGGGGGTGGGCTAGATGAGTGATGGAGATTAAGGAGGGCACTTGTGATGAGCACTGGGTGTTATATGTAAGTGATGAATCACTAAATTGTACACCCGAAACTAATTTTACCATACATGTCAACTAACTAGAATTTAAATAGAAGTTGAGATAAAAAAAAAAAAATAGGGTGGTTCATTTGCCTCTGCAACTGTAGGAGTGGGGCGGAGAGGATCCTTGACTAAGGGAGGAACAGGGAAGGGAGTCAGCTCTGTCGTAGCCAGGATGCTGTTGCCAGAGGGCAAAGAGCCTGGGAGCCAGAGACAAGGGGAGACTAATAGAATATCCTTGTGAATTAATATTTTCTTCTTGAATACTCTACTCAAGAATTCATTTAAGAATATGTTTGTAGGGGCGTCTGGGTGGCGCAGTCAGTTAAGCGTCCGACTTCAGCCAGGTCACGATCTCGCGGTCCGTGAGTTCGAGCCCCACGTCAGGCTCTGGGCTGATGGCTCGGAGCCTGGAGCCTGTTTCCAATTCTGTGTCTCCCTCTCTCTCTGCCCCTCGCCCGTTCATGCTCTGTCTCTCTCTGTCCCAAAAATAAATAAAAATGTTGAAAAAAAATTAAAAAAAAAAGAATATGTTTGTAAATTCTTATAAATATATTAATGGCAGATCTATTCCTTGACTTCATTATCTATGAAGAGTATATTCATGAGGGGCGCCTGGGTGGCTCAGTTAAGCGTCTGACTTCGGCTCAGGTCATGATCTCATGGTTTGTTGAGTTCGAGCCCCACATCGGGCTCTGTGCTAACCGCTCGGAGCCTGGAGCCTGCTTCGGATTCTGTGTCTCCCTCTCTCTCTGTTCCTCCCCCGCGCATGCTCTGTCTTTCTCTACCTCAAAAATAAACAAATATATATATATATATGTATATATTCATTAATATATACTTGAACATAGTTAATATCTTAAACATTCTTGTGTCTGAATCCTTCATGTAAATAGAAAGACAGTCATGGGAAATGTCCTTTCGAGTGGACACTCTACTGCCTCCTCCTCTCTGTGGGCATTGTCAGTCTGCTCTCTTCTCTACAGGGAGCAGGGCAGAGATCAAGGGAATGTTCCTTGAAATGCTGTTATGGATCAGCTCTTGATGAATTGGCTTTCAGCAAATGCCTGGGGGACATCTCCATGGGGGTGTCAGTCAAGTCCTTGAAGCGAGACCAAACCGACCCCCTCGCCTCATATTCCCTGTCTGCGCGACAGCACCATAGCTTAGGCTCTTGTGCATGCCAGAGCCATGTGAACTGATCGGCCACATCCTCCGTTGCCCTGTTTTCCACAGGGTAGCAGGCCCCAGCAATCCTGTGTCTCCAGTACCTTTCTGCTTCTCCAGCATCACCATCCCCGACTCAGGGGACAAGCGTTCCATGGCTTGTCCCCAAGTGACGGTGCCAAAAGCCACATGGCCTCTGTCCTCTGGGCCATCTTTCCTGGTGCCCAAATGAAGAGCCTCAAAGTTTCTTTAAATTATGGAGTACTCCAAACCCAGGGAAATGTAGAGGATAACATGGTCAACACTGTATACCCACCCTCAGCTTTCTCAAATCTTAATTAACATTTACCAAATTTGCCTCAAATGTTATTTTGTTAAGAAGTAAAACTTTAATGCTTATTTTTTTTTAAATTTTTTTTCAACGTTTATTTATTTTTGGGACAGAGAGAGACAGAGCATGAACGGGGGAGGGGCAGAGAGAGAGGGAGACCCAGAATCGGAAGCAGGCTCCAGGCTCCGAGTTGTCAGCGCAGAGCCTGACACGGGGCTCAAACCCATAAACCACGAGATCATGACCTGAGCTGAAGTTGGACGCCTAACCGACTGAGCCACCCAGGCACCCCAAGAAAGAAAACTTTAGAAGGTTCACTTGAAGCTCTCACCTTATCCCTTCCCAACCCCTCCCCTTCCACCCGTCTCGCTATCCTCACTGGGCCCTTATCTTTTTCATATGTATTTTTATACTTTTACAACTTCCACACATAGCCATAAACAACTGGTTAGTGATGTTTTGTTTGTGTTTTTTTCAACGTTTTTATTTTTATTTTTGGGACAGAGAGAGACAGAGCATGAACGGGGGAGGGGCAGAGAGAGAGGGAGACACAGAATCGGAAACAGGCTCCAGGCTCTGAGCCATCAGCCCAGAGCCCGACGCGGGGCTCGAACTCACGGCCCGCGAGATCGTGACCTGGCTGAAGTCGGACGCTTAACCGACTGCACCACCCAGGCGCCCCTGTTTGTGTTTTTTAAGAGGTCTACTGAGATGGAAGTTACGTGCCATAAAATGCACCATCATGACTATACGTTTCAATGACCGTTCGTAGATTTACTAAGGTGTACGACCACTGCCACAATTCAATTTTTTGTTTTTGTTTTAATAACAGCTCTATTGAGATCTAATTCACATCCCCATAAAATTCACCCATTTACGATCAGTGGTTTTCAGTGTATTCACAGACTTGCGCAACCGTCACCGCTGTCTCATTCCGGAACGTTGTCATCACTCCAAAAAGAAACCCCATCTCATTGGCAGTCACTCCCCATTCTCTCCCCACCCTCAGCTGCCAGGAACCACTCATCTGTTTCTGTCTCTACAGGCTTTTATGGAATGATTACTGCTTGCCAAACACCGATGCTGGGAATTTATATGGGATTTAATAGCAGGCATGAATAACTTAGATTTTCCTTTCTACAACTTCTAGTCTGTGGCTAGTTTTGTGAAGCTGTTGTGAAACAGGATCTGTACATGAAAGGTGTATGAATAGCAGCGTGTGTGTGACTGGTGTGCGTTTCTGGTGTTCTGAGGCAGACCTGGGGGAGGAGAGAGGAGGAAGGTGGGATCCGAACCCAAGTCTAGTCTTGACGTGGGACTGCTCCTTGCCAGCACAACCCCTGGGCAGAGTGCTCAGGGAGTAGTCCCCTTGTCTTTTGCTCCCAAGACAAGCGTCGGTGGAAGAACAGGTGAATGAGCACGTCCAGGGGTACCCGGATGACATTTACCACCTCGAACAGAATCTGGCCCGCGCTGAAGAGAAAATGGCCTATCTGTCCTACGAGGGAGCCAAGGAAATATGGGTGAGCAACTCGCGGGGGAGCTTTTAAAAAGGGCCCGTGAGAAGAACAGAGATGAGAGAGGCAAACGATGAGCAGAGCCACCCGGATGGCCTGCGATCTGAGGCAAGGGGCCGGTCCTCAGGCAGCCCCCCGCTGACGGCTCAGTTGCGATTCACCCATCTGCCACAGAGCTGGAAACATCTAGTGTCCGTGTCCCTGCCGCACCCCCGCCCCTGCCCCGAGCCGGCTCATGTGGGAACCGGGGCCCCGCAGCTTTCGCCCGCGGGGGCGCCTCGGCGGAGGGGGGCGCCGTCTGCTGGTGCAGGGAGCTCTCTCTGGGCGCCCCTGCTTCTGACCCTGGGTTAGCAAGCACGGGGGAGGGCTTTGCCTCACCTGTGACGGTCGGGCCCACTGTCTTCCGCCCTCCCAGACCCCACTCCCGTCCTTGGCCAGCTCTCGCGCCGCTGGGTTCTCGGTCCCAGGCCACACTGGATGACGGAGCGTGGCCGAGTCAGCTGGGCCCTTCGCTGTCACCGGGCACGCACACACCCTCCCGGGACGGCGCTCGCACTGGCCACCGTCCTCCCGGCCTTCATCTGCACCGTGTGCACCTGCCCCCCCACTGCCGCTGAGCTCCGGCCCGCACACCTGCGCCGCCCTCGTGCTGATCGGGCTTGGGGCCCTGGCCTGGCAGAAGCGGCGCGCCGTGTCTGCCACAGACCGGCAGGCCTGGGTCCCCTCCAGATGGAGGCGGCGTTCCGAGGAGCCCGAGCCTCTAGCAGGTGGGCCTTAGAGGGCCTGGGCTACCTCAGGCCGCCCTCCGGGCATTGAGGGCGTCCGGCCAGCCCTCCCTAGACAGCCACCCTCACCTCCCTTTCCGGCTCCATCGCCACCAGCCCGCCTCGCGTTTCCGTTTCGTGATCCTCCCGTACCATCTGCAGACACAAGGCTTGGGAAATATTAAAGCCCCTGAAGCACGGTGCTGCTCTTGTCTCTATCCCCCTCATGCCCTCTTGTGACCCCGCGACCGAACCCTCAGAGGCTCAGGTGTCCCCAGACGGCAGCGGAAGCCTCTGCAACTTTGTTGTTTTTGTCAAAGAGAAACTACTTTTATTTCCCAGGGATGGAGGAGAAGGGGCAAGGGGGGGGGGTGGCCAAAGTGCCGGTGTGTGGGACAGGGTTTACGTTTTCCGGTAGGAAGCAGACCTTTTTGTTGTCACGGCCAGGAGGGACTCATGCAGGTGACACCGAAGACACAGATGAGGCCTCCGTTCTGGAGGCGCTGGAGAGTTCAGAGCCGTCGTCAACCTTCTTCCCGAAAAGCTGCATGATGCAGTTTCGAAACTGGCAGGGCAGAAAGCGCTACTCAGCAGAGCGGAAAGGGCCCGCGTACCGTGCTAAAGGTTGCTCTTGGGGAATTCTGAGGAGGCTATTCATTAGGGGGCACCTTGATGACTGAGCACCTTCTCCGCTACCATTCAGAGTCCCGTGCAGAGACTGGAGCAGGCCTGAGGTTATTACTCGCACATGGGGATGGTCTGCTCCTGACTGCTCGCTCATCTGAGCCATCGAATTTAGACTCTGATGGTGACTATTGTGCGTCAAGTTGTAACACCACGCCCCCCTCTCCAAAGCTACGTTCAAGGACTAACCCCTAGAGCCTGTGAATGTGACCTTATTTGGAAATAGAGTCCTTGCAGATGTGATGAAGATATACATTGCCATGAAGTCATGCTAGAGTGGAGTGGGCCCTAATCCAACCACTGGTGTCATTATGAGAAGGGAATTTGGACACAGACTCAGAGAAGGTCACGTGGAGGTGAAGGCAGAGATCGGGGTGACTTGTCTAGGAGCCAAGGGACACCAAGGACCGCTGGCCACCACCGGAGGCTAGGAGATGGGCGGGAACGGATTCGCCCTCAGAGCCCTCAGAAGGAAACAACCCTGCCCACGCCTTGACCCCGGACTTCTGGCCTCCAGAACCGGGAGAGAATACATCTCTGTGTTTTGAGCACCGCCCCCCCCACTTCAGTTTGTGGTACTTTGTTATGGCAGCCCCAGGAAACTTATACAGTGACCAAAGAGGACGCCAGCTAAGGGGCCCATGCATAGGGCGACCCATTTCCAGAATGTCTGGGAAGAGACTCCGAGGCATTTTAGTGAAAAAGGGATGTGATTGTCATCTTGTTTCTATCCCGTCGATTCCGAGGCCACGCAGGCACTAGCTAGTGGTCTAACAAGACCACAGTCTAGCTACTACTTCATGTCTACAGCCAAGAGAATCTTCTGTCACCAAGAGGGCCCCAGTGCATTTCCCCTATAAAGAGATTTGTAACGTATTCATTTCTCAAGTTATACCTCATATCATCACTGGGATAACCCCAATGCCTTGAGACTGCAGACGAGGGGCATCTCCTGTATGTTCTAGGCCTATTCTTGACCACCTCCAGCTCCCTCCAACATCAAAACCCTCACAAATAAAACACATAATTACAGAAATCAGTAACACAAGAAGTGAACTGAACGGGAGAATTGACTTAGCTGAGGAATTCATTTGACATCTACCTACTGAGTGTCCACCGTGTGCCAGACTGTCTTAGGGCGATCGGCAGTGGACAAAAAGAGCAACGTTCTCTGCCCTCGTGAGCTCCATTACAGATAATTGTCTCAGGACACAACAGGAAGGGATAACAATGTGGAGAGGGTGAAAGCAAACTTCAAAAGCCTGGAGATGTCCAGAAGTGCAGACATCTTGTCTAGGAGGGCCAGTTTGGGGAGGGGAGAATGGAGACTCAAGTAAACAAGTACAAGTACAAGGCAAGAGAGCCTAGGGTTCCACAAGCAAAAGCCAGACCTAAAAAGAGACCCACATGAACCAGGAAACAGGAGTCAGGGATACAAAGACACTCTAGGTATTGAGTTGCCAACAGTGGAGTCCCGGGGGATCAACTGTGTCCTACTTAATGCCTGAACATTACAGAAAGAGTGCGTGCTTAATGAACTCTGCAGGGAGCCAAGGGCCAGGCCAGACTGAGCGGGGCCTCGGAGCAACTGTGACATGGGGTGGGGGGGGGGGGGGAAGGGACAGAAGAGCTAGTTGGAAGCAATGGGGACTGGGTCTGGCATGATGCCAGGCCCCTGCGAGGGCCCCTGGACCTTTCTGGTCACCATCAAGTCACACATTGCATCTCGGTGAAGTAGATTTGATGGATTCAAGGAAGAGGAAGCCAAATTGTTCTTGGAAGATGGTAAGCCTCAGCGGTCACCTGTAACCTCCCGGGGGATCTAGGAGTCACGGGCAATTTGCTGCTGAGGCTGAGTATACTGGCCCATGACGGCTACCGTCTGGTGAGACTTCGGGCGGGACCACAGCGGGCCCCCTCGAACTAACCCACAAAGTCACAAAAGCCGCATGCGGGTGCAGCCAAGAAGGGCCTCTCTGCGTCCTTGTTGGGGTTAGGGTTTAAAAACGGAAAGATGAAGACTGAGAGGACAGTTGTGCCTATCAAAGTGGGAAGGGCACAGCCAGGGTCAATGCAGACACGTTCGGGCGCTCCTTTGGGTGTGAGCGGCAGGACAACCCTGAGGCCCACAGAACGGGAGAGCAGCAACGTGCGCGACTGCGCTGTGCCGGGCCAAGACTCCGACACGATCCACGGGGAGGGCTGGCTGGGGCTAGGTCATGTGCTGAGCCTTCTCTGGTCGTTGTCCTGGAGGTCATTAATGGGCACCCCCTCGACATGATTCTAGGTGGGAGCCATCGCTGGGCTCTCCGGGGGTAAATTCCTAGTTTGCTCTGCCAAGGGTGTGACTTACCTGCCGGTTCATAAAGACATAGATGATGGGGTTGTAGATAGTGGCACTTTTGGCAAAGTAGGCCGGCAGGGCGGCCACCAGAGGGTGGAAGGCGTAGCCAGGGTGGGCAGCGGCGAAGCACGCAAAGAAAGTGTAGGGCCCCCAGCAGACGCAGTAGGCGAAGATCATGACCATCACCATGCGAGTCACCTCCTTCTCCGCCTTCTGAGTGGACTCGGATTCTTTTTGCTGCTTTGCCACCTGGGGGAGACAGAGATTCGTGCCTGGGGATGGTGCGTGGGAGAGTCCTTCGGGGCTCTGTGTCCAGGGGGCTCCATGTTGCCGTTGCCTGGGCCGTGAGTCAGGGAGGCGGCGAGAGACAGGCAGCCGGGGGACGTGGAGTCATGGAGACGAGGAGATGGGCCCACCTCGGGCCGGTCAGCGGCCAGCGGCCAGCTCCCACCTGAGTGATCCCGCAGCCTGGCTCAGACTGGACCGGGCCGGCCTTGATGGAGCTTGTGTAGGCTCTGAGGTAACACAGAGCCTGCCCTGGCGAAGATGGCCTTGAAGGGCCTTCCAAGCTCTTGGCTTAGCCTGGCTCCCATTAGGAGTTTGGGAAGGAGCTAAGGAGGCCATCTTAGCCTCGCCTGGTCCCTTATCAGCGTGTTTCCTGCCCGCCCCCCCATGCTTGACTCTGAGGGGCCGATCGGGGGAAGACACAGAGGCTGGACACTGTCTGTTGTGGGCAGGGACACAGCCCCGAGGTAACAAGGCCCAAGCCATGGTTGGACACCTGTGGGAGCCGGCGAGGTTGCTTCTGATCCCTGACCGCAGGCGGGGTTGGGGGAGGAAGCAGGGTGGGGGCACACTGCAGGCTGAAGGCAGGGAGCCTGTGGCCTTCACTCGGGCTGCCTAAGTAGGGGGGTAGGGGGGGCGGGGGACGGGGTCAACTTCCCAGTGAGGACAGTGGAGAGCGGGTCTGGGTGGCACATGGCACACATGAAGCCACTCCTTGGCCTGCCCCACAGCCCCATGAAGGGGACAAGGTCACTCTGGTGGCAGCTTTTCAAAAGCACCTTTTGATCTGCAGGGTTCACTTGCGGATCTGGCTGGCTGCTCTCCACTCCCCGGGAAAGGCAGGCTTTCTACCCAGGGGAGGACTGTCTCGGGTCACGGAAGAAATGCACGCGTCGTGTAGGGACAAGGACAAGGGAGCCAGGACTGCAGGCGCAGCCCCAAAGGAATTGGAGGATTCAGGCCTGCTTTGAGGGCAGGAGAGAGCTTCTCTGTCCCAGCCTAAGTGTCCTTGGCTCCCACGATCCTATCGGCAGGGGGTAGAGCCAGGAGAGTTCGGGGGCTCACCGCTCGGATGGCCAGCCACACTTGGAGGTAGCAGAGCACGATGACGCTGAGGGGGATGATGCAGCATGTGATCATGAGGACGATCATGTAGGACTGCACGCCAGGGTACGAGCTGCCACTGAACACATCGGGCCCGCACGATGTCTTCAGGCCGTGGGGCCAGTACCTGGAGAGAAGGGCTGGCAGCCTGTCCTGATGCAGGCAGGGCACCCTGGGGCCCCCCAGTCCAGGCATGCCACTGACTTGGGGAGGACGATTGGTGGCTTGTTTTAATTAAGGTGAAATTTACATTGCATGAATTCACCTTTTTTTTTTGAAGTTTATTTAATTATTATTGGAAAGACAGAGAGAGATTGTGTGTGTGTTCATGAGCAGGGCAGGGGCAGAGAGAGAGGGAGAGAGAGAATCCCATGTAGGCTCTGCACTATCAGCATGGAGCCCGATGTGGGGCTCAATCTCATGAACCGTGAGATCGTGACCTGAGCCGAGATCACTTAACTGACAGAGCCACCCAGGTGCCCCTCACCAACCATTTTTGAAGCGAGCCATTTAATCTGACAGCACCTTCACAGTATTGTGCAACCACCACCTCTGTCTAGTTCCAGAACGTTTTCACTGGTCTTATAGCCCCTTGTGTTTTTATTGTGGTAAAATACACATAGCATCTGAGCCCGCAAAGAAGCAGCCTGGCCAAGACACAAATGACCTATGGGCCCAGGTGTACCTACAACCCAAGAAGCCTCTGAAAGGGAGGCCCCTGAGAATGTGCGAGATGTAGGCCTAGGGCAGAGTGGGTGAGACGGCCCTGCTTTCACTTATAGCTGCTCCTGTGGCTTGAGCTTGTCGCCTTTCTCTGTGTGCACCCATGTTGCAGTCAGGCAGATTTATATGTTCGTAGGCACCGCGCCCTCAAAGGGGGTCACAGGGACATCGGGTCCATCCTCACTTTAGTCATGGGGCCGTGGAGGCCCAGAAACAGGAAGCGACTGACCCCACGGTTACAAATGGAGTCATGCACCTGACCCTCCCCGCTGTCCTTCACCGTCTGTCCTAAATGAGCTGCATGCCTGACATACTGGCCTCCTTACCTGCTCCAGCCAAAGATGGGCGGGGCTGTCCACACAGCGGCCCAGATCCAGGAGAAGGCAATGCCCGCGATAGCTAGCTTGGCATCAAATCTCACATTGCCAAAGGGCTTGCAGACTACCATCCACCTCTCCCAGGAAATGATGGCCAGGGACCAGAGACCCGTGATCCCTGCAGGGGAGAGCAGACAGATGAGGGCTTTGAGCCTCCAACATCTCTTCTTCCACCCATACCAACCGACAGCTTTTAGGATCAAGAGACAGCCTCCCCACCCATGTGAAAAACCTAATTCTCCAAAAAGCGTGTTCAGCTCCAGGGGGCAGTGGGCCTCTTGGTCAATTTGTCTGACACCCTCTTTCCCCATTTTTTCCTCTTGGGCCTCTAGCACCCCGATTCCTATCTTCCTCCTGGTTGGCCACCAGCCTTTCTTCGGATGCAGACGCAACTCCCGATGGCCATGCATGCACCCACGTGACCACACTGAGGTGCTGTGGTCCCAGCCAAGGGCAAGGAAACGGGACGTGTCCGGTGACCTGTGGCCCTTCGGCCCATATGCACGTTCACCTAGGCTTCCAGATTTCCCACCGCTGCCCTCCCCCCGGCAGGTGGAGATCATGTCTCCATGCCCTGCTTAGACACTGGAGGTCTGTGGGCAGAGTTTAGGGCTCCGTTAACTGGGGCGGGAAAAAGGACAGCTTTTTTCCACTAAAAACTCTAATGGACCCTAAGGCATCGCCTTCCATTATGAGCATGGCAGCATTAGCAGTGCCTGCGACTTGGTCACTTTACAGAGGCAGCAGACACTTCCCTATATCACCATATTCATTACCACTTTGAAATTTCAGTGGCTGTCGGGCCAGATCCGGTTATTTGATGCCTTAATAAAGAATGGTGTCATCAATACTTCTAAAAAATGCATTTACTCATAATTTTAGTGAAGGACTATGTCACTCATTAATATTTAATACGTTGATCACTATATTTCGGTATCACGGGACTCCTTTGTAGTTCTATGGATCTTATTGTGCACGTTGGCAAACAGTCTTCTGAGGAAGGGTCCGCAGGCTTTCCCTGGTCACTGCCGTTCTATACCTTTGGGAGAGCGCTGGGTATCATCTGTAAAATGAGGGGCAGTTAGATATGGGGGGGGCGGCATCCTGCCCTGTACAGTGTGTGGGCCTCGTGTTAGCACCTACCTCACAGGGATATGAGGGGCCGATCTGCTCATTTCAGTCTTGCCCCCGTGTCCTGCCCCCATTTCACTGATGCGCAGTAGCAATTCAAACCTGCAGCCAGGGTCCCCCTGCCTTCCCCAGGCCTTGGCTGTCCTAGCGTCTTTTTTTTTTTTTCCTCCTCTTCATGTCCACCTCTCAGAATCTGAATTGGAGACCAATTTAGGTGGCAGTTGGATGAACCCGAGTTAGATGTGGGTGCTCAGGACCCAGGATTGGAGACCCCGTGGTCCTGGGAAACTTAAAATGGAAGAGCAGTGGTGTGACGGCTGGGGGCCCGGAGGCAGGCCAGCCTCGAGCCCTCGGCCCTGCGGGAGGGGTAGCTCCCTCGTGCTCCTGCGGGCACAGCCTTTGCTCTCTCACTCAGCCTCTTCCCGGGTCTCTCCCGCCAGCCTCCGCCTCCCAGAATCAAGTCCGCGCCCCTGCGTGTGCCCGGCCTCATAGTCCGCTCGGCCACCGGCCAATGCTAACCTGTCCTCTGCCCACCCAGCTGCCGCCTGCACCCTGCTCTCCTTGGCCACCTCGGCCCAGCTCCCTTCTCATCTTGCTGACTCAACGTCCGGGTGCTCCCTCATCTCCTCCTGCACACGGTCCTCTGAGGGGGCGGATGGCACCCCGTGCTCGCTATCTGGGATAGGGACCCCTCTTTCCGGGACTCGGGAGTGCCTCGGGGAAGGGATCGTATGCTCCTGGTGCCCCCCACATGGGTTCTTCTCTGCCAAGGTTGACCTGAGCAGGGCCCAGGCCCACAGAGATGTGAGTGATGGGGACCGGGATCTGAGATCTAGTTTCAGGATCTCAAAAGCTCTAACGGGAAGCGCTGCTTTCTCTGGGAAAAGCCGACACAGGTGAGCTGAAAGAACACACATCCCCAGTTTGAGTGGAACTTCTGTTTGGGGTGACCCGGAGCCCTCCTTCCCACATTGTTCTGGGATTGTCCGTCTCCTCCTATGCCAGCTGCGTGGCCCTAGACCGGCCTGTCTCAGGGTAGGCACTCTGGATGTCCACTTGTCGGTCTGCAACCCCCCCTCCCCACGATGACCCCGGCCCGGGTTCCCCTACAGGACTGTCTCCCTTCAAATGCACACCGTGGGCACACCCGGGGGGTGCCGTGTGAATGTTTCCTTTACACACGGCAGGCTGGGTCTTCCCGGAGCCCGGGGCCCTGGCTAGCTTACCACACAAGGAGACAGTGTAGCCTTCCAGGACACACATGGGGTGGCCCAGCACAAAGTAGCCGTAGATCTGGTTCATGATGCTGATGGTGCTGGCGATGATAGTCTCCGCCAGGTCAGCCACCGCCAAATTCACCAGGATCCAGTTCAGAGGGTGGCGCAGCTTCTTGAACTTCATGGTGGCTGCCAGCACAAGCCCATTAGTGAAGACGGATGCAATGACCACGAAGATCATCCAGGCGCTGGTGACGTGGTACACCCATCGCGGCGCGATGTGGTAATTGGGACCTTCAAAGGGGCCTAGAAGGCAGGAGGTACAGCGCGGGGAGAGGAGCTGGGCATTGGCGTTACTCGACTGCACAGCTGTGCCCGCCCCACCCTCCCTTCCTCGTCAGAGCGTCGCGTCAACCCTCTCACCCTCCTGCCCGCTACCCTTGCCTTTGCAACCAGCTCTTTCCCTCTAGCTTGGCCCGCCTGCGAACAACCTTCCGTGTTGTCGTGATGGCACGGAGTGCTGGAACCTCACGGATGTTGTGAGGCATCCGTGTCTCACGCCAGAGGCCGTGGCCCTCCAGACAGGCATCCTTGAACTTAACAAAGCCAAACTCTTCACCAGCTATGCCGGGTATCACCCCCCATCCGTTTTGCCACCCCCGTATGCGGGCCGGCCCTCTGGGGTGCCGCGGGCAGGCCTCTGCTCCCTCAAACCCCTGCACCCGCCGCGCTGCTTCCCGTGACTGCTCCATGCCTCTCTGTCATGGGACCTTTGCTCACATTCTCCCCTGCACTGCGGTCCTCTTCTCTCCCATACCGTAAAGCCCAGCTCAGATGGCCTTGCTTCCCGGGAGCCTTTCCGGATTCCTAAGCCGAGTGTCAACTCAGCCCCTTGGGACCGCCACCTCAGTGTACCTGTGTGACATCCTACACTGTACTGGAGCCACCCACGTGCACGTCTCGTCATATCCCATGTGGCAGGTTCAACGTACAGTCAGTGCTCAGAGAATGGATGAATGAATGAGTTCTGGGTTGAGTTGTGTCCCCCCATGAGAACGACATGTCGGGGTCGTAACCCCCAGGACCTGTGGAGGGGACCTTATTTGGAGACGGGGTCTGCACAGAGATGATCAAGTTACCGTGCGGTCATTAGCGTGGGCCCCAATCCTGTAGGACTGGGTCCTCACGAAAAGGGGTAGTTTGGACACAGAGACATGCATACGGGGAGAAGGTCACGTGAAGATCAAGGCCGAGATCCGGGCGATGCTTCCACAGGCCGAGCAGCACCGCAGATGGCCGGGAAGAGCCAGAAACCGGAGGAGAGGCCCGGAGCGGACTCTCCCTCGGAGTCGCCGGAAGGAGCCAACCCGGCCCACGCCCGGACCTCAGACTCCTCGTGAGCCAAGGAGTTTCTCTTGTGTGAGCCACTCAGCGTGTGGTGCTGTTACAGCCGCCCTACGAAACACACACGCAATGAAAAGGAAGGGTAACTCCCCTTTATTACAACGCAGTGGCTCTACACCTGTCGTGCTGAAGGACCTTTTTTACCACCATCATTTTTGGCAAAATACTTAAAGGGATGATACGCCAGTGCCTGCCGCCATGTACCAAAGCCTTATGGCGCCCAGGAAAGCATCCACGCAGAGTCCCCACATTTACCAGGACACTTCAGTTGTGTGCCACAAAAGTCCAGCTCGAACTACTTTTAGAAGAGTAGGGCTTTCTTGGGTCCCCTGGCTAGGAGGGCTGGGGTAGATGCCAATCGCCCCCAGCACCCGTGATGTTCCAGCACCCTGTGCGTGAGCTTTGTTCATTGCTTTCACGGGGAGCTCCTGGAAACCCATCAGCAATGCCCACAGCCATGCTAGGTGGCACAGGCCCCCTGAGGACAGACCTCTGACTACCGAAGGCCCGCGTGCTATCAGTTTCTGTACAGAAGGAAGCGGAGGGAAACCACGGGGCTGCTGATAGACGGGAGAACAGAGGACCCCGAATTGCCAACGGGTCTTGCCCAGAAACTACAGCGGGTTAGTGCGAGAACAGCAGCTGGGACTGGGAGGTATACGGAACGCTCCAGCTTTTGAACAATTTCAAAACGAAGCAGCCAGAGCATCCTTCCCGGACAGTCCGCCGAGTCCAAATTGGACAGGGCAGGGACAAGAGGGACGGGGCTGCGCACAGTGGGGGAGGGGATGGACTGCTCCGAATGTGGGAGGTCATGGGGGAGGGTCCTCTAGCAGTGCAAGCAGAGCCCGTGTCCCAGCCTGCCCCTCTCTTCTGAACTCTCCAGGACCAACTTCATAAAGAAGTGGGCACCACAAGGGTATCACCGTCAACTCCCGGGGGGATGGTGTTCTGAAGAAATTCATGGAGGGAGTGAATTGGGTGTGGGGGCAGGCGAGGAAGCAAGATTTCTGTGAATATACCTTCTTCTCTAGATTTTAATTCGGAACCTTGTGAATATTTTATTACATGATTTTAAAACAACATTAAAATTTAAAAAGCAATCCCTGAAAATCAAAAATAAAACAAATGAACCTAAATGCATATCCACTCAGAGGCATAATCACACAGAGAGGGACTGTTCTAAACGACTTGGAAGGGCACTAGTTTGACTATTCGAACCTGGTGGCATAGACCCTAAGGACGAAAAGACCTGTCCAAATGTTGAGTTTTGGGTACACATGTTGTTGATGGCGGTGTCAGTGTCATTACTCTGAGACCATTGTGAGTGTGTGTGATAAAAAGCAAATGAGTAATTGAATCATATTCTGATTCTTCTACCCAAGGCCCTTGAGAACAGGATTCTTAGTGGGAGAGAAAGGAGACCCAGAGGTCAAACCCAACTGGCTCCACTGGGAAACCAAGTCATTACTTTGGAGTGGGAGAAATAAAAGGAAAGAAGAAGCATTTCTTCTGCCTTTCCCATACACTCTGTGTCCCTGGGGAAGCCAAGAGTAGAAGAGGGAATGTTTCAGTCTATCCAAGGACTCCAGCTAATAGATGAAGACAGGGTGAGGAAGTCAGAATGTCACCATTTTGCAACCCCCAGCAGTTTCGTGGGTCCAAGCATCGAGTTCAGCAGCTGCCAACACCCCAGAAAAAGGGGCACCCTCCTGATGGTGAGGAGATCCAACCAAACACAAAACAGATCCAACTGGTCTCCAAGCAGATCTTCAGATCAACTACCAATTTACAGACACATAATGATGAACAAGATGGGAAGGGGCATGGGAAGCCACACACGGGAGACCATCAGCAAGTCCAAAGTGGAGGGGTCCGGGGACAGACGACCCATTCCCTTGAACAAATAAATTACAAGGAGGTAGAGAGGGAGCACCTGACTTCAAAGAGGACA